TCCCATATATATCCCATATATATCCCATATAATATCCCATATATCCCATATATATCCCATATATCCCATATATATCCCATATATCCCATATATATATATCCCATGTATCCCATATATCCCATATATATCCCATATATCCCATATATATCCCATATATCCCATGTATCCCATATATTTATATATATCCCATATATCCCATATATATCCCATATATCCCATATATCCCATATATCCAATGTATCCCATATATCCCATATATATCCCATATATCCCATGTATCCCATATATCCCATGTATCCCATATATCCCATATATCCCATGTATCCCATATATCCCATATATCCCTTATATCCCATATATCCCATATATCCCATATATCCCATGTATCCCATATATCCCATATATCCCATATATATCCCATATATCCCATATATCCCATGTATCCCATATATCCCATATTATATCCCATATTATATCCCATATTATATCCCATATATATATATCCCATATATATCCCATATATATCCCATATATATCCCATATAATATCCCATATATCCCATGTATCCCATATATCCCATATATATCCCATATATCCCATATATCCCATGTATCCCATATATCCCATATATCCCATATATCCCATGTATCCCATATATCCCATATATATCCCATATATCCCATATATCCCATGTATCCCATATATCCCATATATCCCATATATCCCATGTATCCCATATATCCCATATATCCCATGTATCCTAAGCTTCTATATCCTATAAAAACCCGTTAAAATCAGCGAAAAAAAAATAACCCGCGAACAAAATGGCGAGGAAGGTGAAGCCCTCGTCTTCCGAGAGGGCAAGGCACGGCGGGCCCGACGGGGACCCCCCGAAAGAAAGGGGGCCAATGGCAGTTTCATCGACTGAAAAAAAAGGGCAAGAACCTCTGGCTCATCCAGTTTCATCCCCCATTTTCGGATTGGAATTCTGATGAAATATGCATAGATCTTGCGAATTCCGACAGTAGGTTGAAGGGACAGTACATAAATACAATGGGTGACCTGCTAGGTATCGTGAATCATGGACTATTCATGCATGCTCATGTTTTGCTAGGTAAACCTATTTCAGGTAAGATAGGATGGTGTCATTGTTTGGAAATCATGAAGGAAGTTTTGCAAGACCCAATCATTTTCGAACATCGTTTCCTATCGCCAGGGGTACGTTCCTGCCATGTTAGAAAGATCCCCATGGTAATCTGTTGGGTTAGACTCCCAAATGATAAACCAAGGCTTGATAAAATCCACCTCCATGATTTTCCGAAAGCCATTGCCACAGGTGGTCCACAGCTTTGGCCCCATCGCCGAGAAAGCGCTCTTCGCTAAGGCAATGTGGGGAGGTTGTTGGATGGGTATCGCTAGGAGCTGATTCGAAATATCACAAAAAAATATCCATAAAATATCCTGAACTCTCCGTATGACATGAATGGCCCTGATTTTCCGAGGTTTTTCCTTGGGAAAAACGTCGTGTTCTTCGACCAGCCACGATGTCCAGGTCTTCCTGAGCAACGTGGACGACTCAGCCACGCTGCAGTGCTACAGCGAGGTGAGATGGTAACCCCCGCTTCGCCGGTGCTGGGGGATGTTGCCGGGATGAATATTAGGGCTATGGGATTACCGATATTCTATTTTATATATATATTCTATTATATATACATATATACACATATTTATATTTATATTTATATATATACAATATATGAGTATATATGGGGATGGAAATATCAACCCCTAATATTTGGGGATAGGTATGGGGTATGAGTATCAAACTCGAAATGTTGAGGAAGCGACCACGATATGGTGATCGTACTGGAGGAAGGTCACCATCCCATCTAGCCGTGCTAAAGGGTGTAGGGTGCCCTGTGCTGTCCGAATGGAGGAACATCTAGATAATACATATAACTTAACATATGTATATATATATAGTAGATATGTGTATATACATATATTAAGATATGTCACCATATTATGTACATCACCATTTATATCGCGAATCACCCTTATGTACAGGTTCCGGACGACGGCAGCCGCTGGGACGACGCCTTTGTAGCTGCCTGGCGATCTGGAAAAGCCATGGCGGGTGTTCCATAGATTTGCTGTCTAATGGATGATGAATCACGATTTTCCCTACTCAAATTGCCATAAATAACAAAAAAACGGACATGCACCATTTTAGGAAACACACATATATATATATATATAGATGGGAAGTAAGTGGGCTTTCTAAGCGATCGTGAGGAATTGGTTGATGTAGTGCATGCGGGTAGTCGTACGAATGTGCCGCTAGAACATCCTGTGCATGTTGATGTTGTGAAACAGGGTCATGGGAATAGAACATCTGAGTCTGGCCAGTATGTTTTCACTGGTATACTGGTATGGTCAATCCAGATGGTGTTCAAACCCCTGTTGGTGGATGATTAATTATAGGGGATTATACAATCAATAGATTGGTGCAATGTGGTGCCCCTCAGTGATGTTTGTTGGTTAACAAAAACCCCATTAACTATAGTATTATAGTTAATATCTACCATAAACCATAAACCATAGTGAAATTGGAGTTATGTGAACCCCAACTTAGCGTTAACGAACTGGGGCACCACCTGGTGATTGTCACAATCCATGAACGGGGAATCCCGTTCTCAACCAGATGACTAAAGCAGTTCCTATCGCCCCCAACCACAGTCTGTGGATCTGCATGACTGGGACTACTTGGGTATGAGTCAAAGTTGAGCCCAAGAATTACATGGTTAACACATCTTAATACTAGAAATATCAGCAAATATCTACCAAAAAAAAAACGAAAATCTGTGGTCCCCTTGAGTTTGTTGTGGATCTCTAGGTGCCCCCGGTTTGGGTCATTCCAGATCCCATTCCCAACTCTCCAGGCTTGATGCAGCAACGCAGCGCCTGGATGTGGAGTTGGACGAATTTGAGAAGCCTGACTGTTTTTCAATCATGCCATTGGTTCATAGTATCTATGAAATACAACAAAACACATCATATATATATAATATGTTATTAATATGTATTATACATACTCATGTGACTGATGGATGCCAATGAAAGATGCTCCACTTCCAGGATTAGTTGAGCCAAGATTCCTCAAGGTTCAAGGCCTTCAAGGCTCCCAACATGGCATGGGAGTTGATCGATTTTCATGTAAAGATGGAGGTTCCCAGCGGCGCAGCCACCGGGCCGGAGACTTTGAAACTCCAAAAACATCGACAAGGCTCAATTTATCACTCAACAATAGGAGGGTGTTTTTGGTTTCTTTGCCATAAACAGGAATATGATCATATGACTCTTCAGCAGCCAAAGATCTATTTGTTGCCTGGTATCTAAGGCCAGCAATAATGGGATGGATGAGCCACAACATAAGTTTACAAGGCTTTGTAAGCCCATGGGTACGTCCAAAAATCATCACAAGCTAGGATAGCCATGGTACCAGCAACATCTCCGCAGGACCAGAAACCATGACCCAAGAAGTCTCCTCCGAATTTTCAAGCTTGGTGGCTGGCGTTCCAAGCGTTTCTCATGTAGGTGTGTGGCATCCCACTCAAGAAATCAGTCAAGAAATGGAATGACCAGTCATTAAAAAAAAACAGCTGAGAATGCCCCGATATCTTGGTACTCGTTCTTTTGTCAACTGCAAAAGTCTTCTCTGTCGCAGCTTCACTGCTGAATCTCCTGGTAATTTCCAGGTGTGTTCGGCCATCCCAAAGTTGGAATCTCTAGCACCCAACATCAACAGTTTATAAACCCTCTAAACTCTAGTTACCAGTATCATCAACATTCATAAACCATAGTTATTGGAGTTATAAACACCCAACCAACATCAACCAAAGGATCCAATTCTGGTGCTAACTTGTTACTTTTGGCTCCTTGGTCCTGATGCCATGCGAGAAACTCAACCCCTCCCTGGCCCCAGAAGGGCCCCAGGGACGGATACCGCGCCTTAGGGCGGTTTTCCTTGCGCAGGGTGACGAGGTCCCGTTCCGACCCTTGAGGTCTCTGGACGCAAAAAAGCGGAGCTTCCGGTGGGAACTTGAGGCCCTTTGAGGCCCTTCAAGCACACCCAGGTCACCCAGGGATTATTTGGAGGAACTCGTCCAGGATGTCACGATGGGGTTTGCTTCGAGACTGGAAGCGGCAAACGATGGGTAAATGGGTTTCTAACTGGTCTACCCTCTGGTAAATAAACATAGACCCTGAAAATCACCAATTTTTAGAGGAAACTAGTCTTCCAACCCCTATCTGCCAGGGTCTATGTTAATTTACCAGAGGGTAACTCTCGGTTGGATTTATGGTATATCTGTACTTAGATGGGGTATCAGAAAAAGCCAGTTACAACTGGGCGGCCCCTTCCTGTCTTTGTGAATTTGATGGTCAGTACCATAGGATCTACTGTAGTGATCCAGTTTAAGACGTTTCCTGCCATGGAACGAAAGTATTACTGCCGAAGACATTTCTGATCGATCGCTGCTCAGAACAGACAGACCCAGAACTGCTCGCAGCAAGGTGATGTGGCGTTCAAGAATAGGAATGCGTCCATGAATTGCCATGAATTTCCATGAATTTCTATGAATTTATGGCCATCGATCTTTCTGTGAAATGAGACCAGATGGAAGGGGAAAGCGATTTTGGGACAAAGCCACATGGTTCAAATCATCAAATCCCAGCACCTCAAGAGATCTTCACTTTTCAACAGCGCTATGGAGACCGTGGAATAGAAGGCAGGAGGATACAGGTGAAAAACATGGCGTGCTGTTTTGGTGCTGTTTTGAATGGGTAAAATATATTAGAATATGGGGAAGCGAGGTTTTTAATCAGATTTTGGGTGTCCCCCATGATTCTTGGGTCTCGTGTGCAAGTTGCTGCAAAATTTCTCCATTCCATTTCTGTCCATTTCTTTCAAATCCCCATGTCTGTTATCCAAAAAATCCATGTTTGTCCAAGATCTGCCGCAGCATCCGATGTTCGACTTCGATGAGTTGGAGCAACAGGAGGACGTGGCCGAAACGGTGCCGGAGGTGACGTCGGAGGCTGGGATGGCTTGGGAATGTTTGGGATGGGAAATGCCGGATTTTTCAACAAATTTGCAGGGGAAAATGACGAAAAATTTTGCTGGAGATCACATGGGATCACCAACTAAAGATCAGGATCATCGTAATTTTTGACTCATTTTTGACTCGTCCAAAAATTGCGTGTTTGGAAGATGTTGGAGATATGTCGGGGTCACCCAAAGATTTCCGGCGCCAGGAAGCTGCGAGGCATCCCGAGGCGCCGTGGAGCTGGAACAAATGGGAATATTGATGAAGATATTGGGGAATTTTTCATGGGAATATATATCATATGAATATCATATGAATATCATATGAATATGATATGTGGGTGTGTTTGAAAATGGCGGATTTACCATGAATGGTGATTTCAATGGAGAGATTGTTTGCTGCTACACAAATGCGGGAAAAGACACTGTATTGTCCGGCAAAACCAACCATATGGGGAATGTGATGGGAATATAATGGGGATGTGATACAATGGAAATGTGATATGATTGGAATGTGATATGATGGGAATGTGATATAGATGGTTCGTTTTTTTATTTTCGTGCAGGGAGAGGGGGCTGGTCACAGTTCTTGTTTGTTGATTTAATTATCTTACCCCACCTACCCAACAGGAACTATAGATCCAGTACAAGTCCTACAGTTATTTGGATTTTCCTATGGATATGATATACCTCTTATATAGGACTAAGTAAGCCTTATTTAGCATTATATAAGCCTTGTATAAGAAGGGTTGTAGGGCCTTGTAGGGAGGAATCTCTGGGTGGAATTGGGAAACCTCCAGAATATTTCATGAGGATATGATGCAACTAAAATAGCTACGCTTTTACATAATGAGGATCGAATGTGTTTCATAGGACAAGCAATGTGATCCGACCGTTCACTCACGGGGTGATTTTGAATGGGAGATCCAAGTCCTTTTGTTGAGAAATTCATAGAAAATCATATTGATTACATAAGTTATATATAAGTTGTAAATATAAGTGATATTTCCATTTATGGTTTGTTTGTGGTTTTTTTCATGCCATTTGCCCTGCCCGAGGCGACCGGGTCGGCGACCGGCTCGGCGACCTTGTCCTCGCCCCCAAAGGAGCCGCCGCCGCCGCCACCGGAGGTGCCCATGCCGGAGCCGGAGCCGGAGGCCGGTGATGGAACCGATGTGACCGATTTGGGAGAAGTGATGGATGCCCGGCCTGGTAAACATACAAAAAGCTATGGTATAGATGGCCCATAGAAATAGTTGATTTACCCATTCAACATGGTGATTTTCCAGAGCTATGTTAAATTACCAGAGGGTAAAGGAAGTGATAACTGATGGTTGATCAGCTACGGGATACAAAGGATAAATATTGATAACTTGTATAACTGCTGGTTTTTCTGATTAGTTTGGGATTCTACTCACCAATATATTGGGGATGATCATAATCCATTATGGGAAATCCTGTTAACATGATTGAATCAGTATAAATTGTACCCTCTGGTAATCAAAGATGGCAACAACAGGAATAAAATCCCAGAGAAAGAAAACAAATCAATTTTTTCCCAGCTATAAACCTGCATGTATGTCATATTAGCGATTGGTTGATAGATTGGGACAGTTTACCCCAGCTCTTGGGATGTTCACTTTTGGTGGAGCATATTTCCATGACCAGAATTGGTGTTTAAATATCCCCCATTTCTGAAACGGCATGTGTTTCTTGTTGCATAAATCAGGCTATATTTATGCCCTTTTGTTGTTGTTTGTAATGTCGTAAAGCCAATGATAGAACTATTTGTTGAGTTGCTTAGCGGTTAGGTACGGAGGACAACGAAGCTCTGACCAAACGTTTTTCACCAAGACCCAAAAGAGCAAAACGCTTCTTTCAAAATTATTGCCATGTTCACCGAGGTTTCGGAATTTCACCAGGTTTTCACCAAGTTTTCACCCGGTTTTCACCAGGTTTCAGAAAATCCCTGAGGTCAAGAAAATTGCCCGAACTTCACCTAAACATTCACCAGGTTTTGGAAATTTGACCAGGTTTTCACCAAGTTTCTAAATTTCACCAGGTTTTCACCCGGTTTTCATTAGGCATAGAAATTTTCAGTGCCGGGGTAGTACCCCCCTCGATGCTGGAAACAACAACCCTGATTATTCAGCAGAAGAATTTTCAGCGTCGGAGTAGTAAACCCCCCGGTGCTGAAAAGAACAATGGTATTGGGCATAGGAATTCTCAATGTCGGCATGGCAACCTCCCCGGTCCCGGGAACAATTGCCTTGATTGGATTCGGTTTGATTTCTTCCCATCGGAAATTCACGCCCATGAACTCGTAAACTGATCCTATGCAAACACTGGATTGGATTGATTTCTCCCCATTGAAAATTCACATTTGTGACTTCAAAAATTGGTTCTATATGACGGCCACGGGCCGGGCCAACCACTGCCAGCATTGCTCTTCTGGTCGGAGTACTTCTGGCATACCATGACGCGCTTGCTCCGGCACTTGGGCGCCGCACTGATCTTCGACTCGGTTGAAGCTGGGCCTGGATCAGGGGTGGAGAGGCAGTCTCACGGAATGTGAGAAACCCAAAGTATAACACCGACCATGCTTTTGGGATGGTTAATATAAATCAACAGCATCCATGCACCCCCATTTCTGTATAAATCCTTGTTGTCACGTAGCCTAACAGACTTTTAGCATCATAGCTATATAGGCCAAAAAAAAAACACAGCAATGGAAAACATGCCCATGCGTCAATGATCTTCCCGTTAAACCCCTATATATTAATTCAAGAGTTTGAACGGCCATATTTGATTGCCAGAGGATAGCCCGCCAAATATCGTGATTTCATATTGAAGGATGATGCACATTTGGCATGCTCATCGGCACCAGCATCATCTCATCATCTTGGATCTCTAGATCATGAAGCAAACGAAACTCTATGACTATGTGCCTGATAGGCTGATGTGCATGTAGATAAGATGCCCGGATTTATAATGTCGGTTGTCGTTCTGGGACGTCAAAGCGGATTACTGTGGTAACCTCAATAGGAAAAACATCAACACCGCGTTTGCACCCATTACGAGCTGCCGTGACAGGAGCAGCAGGACGGTCGCCACGACCCCTTCATCTGCCGCGCGCCTCCGGAGCCGACTGATCTTCGCACGTGCCTTCCATATGCGACTCCCTTATTGCTGCTGCGCCAAGGCATCCTAAGGTGGCTCGCCTATCCCAAGGTTGATCAGGAGCATCTGGTGGAGGCAAGTCATCTAACCTGAACTATCTATAATAAGAAGGGCTAACGCCCTGGTGCCGCCGACCCCCTTCTGGGGGGAGGTGCGGCGCGGGGCGTGAGACTGGATCTTCCGCCGGGCCCCGGGCGCATGACATTCAGTGAGCAGTCAGCAAGGAAACACGGTGTCATGCGCACAGTTGCCCGGTCTGCTCAACTGTTGTTTGGTCATCGCAGTCACGTGGGCGAATTGCGGTCACGCATGACACGCCGGCGGGAAAGCGATGCCAGAAGAAACATTGGCACGTGCCGGACAAAAGGGCACGCAAAAAATAAGAAGAGAAATAAAAGACGCTGCACTTTCAAGAGCATAGGCTGCAGCGTTGGATTGCGGGCCGCAGCTGCCAATTCCTCCGTGGAAGGTTCTCGAACGAAGCTGCCGCGGAAAGTTTTAGGGGTGTCCTTGAAGGCCCGTAAAAAGAGATGGCTGGGGCTTGAGTAACTGCACGAAGCTGCCGCGGAGGGGAGAAGGGTTTTAGGCAAACGGCAGGCTTAAACGCCCTTAACAACAGAGGGCAGGGACCTGAGTGCCTCGTCGAAGCTGCCGCGGAGGGTTTTAGGGGTTTTAGGCGTTTGAAGCCTGGCAAACGGCAGGCTTGAACGCCCTTAACGCGAGGGCCGGGTCGAAGCTGCCGCGGAGGGTTTTAGGGGTTTTAGGCGTTTGAAGCCTGGCAAACGGCAGGCTTGAAAGCCTTTAACAACAGAGGGCAGGGGCTTGAGTGCCTCGTCGAAGCTGCCGCGGAGGGTTTTAGGGGTTTTAGGCGTTTGAAGCCTGGCAAACAGCAGGCTTGAACGCCCTTAACGCGAGTGCCAGGTCGAAGCTGCCGCGAAGCTGCTGCGGAAGGTTTTAGGCGTGTTAGGCGTCTGAAGCGTGGCAAACGGCAGCCTTGAATGCCCTTAACAACAGAGGGCAGGGGCCTGAGTGCCTGGTCTAAGCTGCCGCGGAGCGTTTTAGGTGTTTTAGGCTTCAAACGGCAGGCTTGAACGCCCTGAACAACAGAGGGCAGTGGCCTGAGTGCCTGGTCGAAGCTGCCGCGGAGCGTTTTGGAGGTTTTAGGCGTTTGAAGCCTGGCAAACGGCAGGCTTGAACGCCCCTCAACAACAGAGGGCATGGTTTTAAAGGGTGGTCAAAACGTGCCACAGGGCAGTTTCGAGGCCCAATAGAAACAGCTTGTGCCACGGGGCAGTTTCGAGGCCCAATAGAAACAGCTTGTAGGGCCTACGGAGGTAACATGGCAAAGCAGGCGCAAGCCTTGGAAAGTTGCTGCAGAAGGGTTTTTAAATTTGTTTTAAAGCTTTTTAAGGTTTTCAAGGGTGCCCGAAACGTGCCACGGGGCAGTTTCGCGGCCCAATAGAAACAGCTTGCAGGGCCTACGGAGGTACCATGGCAAAGCAGGCGCAAGCCTTGGAAAGCTGCTGCAGAAGGGTTTTAGGGTTTTGAAACTTTTTAGAGCTTTAAAGGGTGCCCAAAACGTGCCACGGGGCAGTTTCGAGGCCCACTAGAAACAGCTTGTAGGGTCTACGGAGGTACCATGGCAAAGCAGGCGCAAGCCTTGGAAAGCTGCTGCGGATTTTTTTTTGGGTTTTAAAGGGTGCCCAAAACGTGCCACGGGGCAGTTTCGAGGCCCAATAGAAACAGCTTGTAGGGCCTACGGAGGTACCATTGCAAAGCAGGCGCCAGCCTTGGAAAGCTGCTGCGGAAGGGCTTTAGGGTTTTAAAGCTTTTTTCCCGAGAGCGCCTGCGAAGGGTTCTTCGTAAAAAAGCAGCCGTTGTAATACATCTTCACACCCTCGCATCTGCTGATCTACATCTTCACAACTTCACATCTGCTGATCTACATCTTCACACCCTCACATCTGCTGATCTACATCTTCACACCTTCACATCTGCTGATCTACATCTTCACACCTTCACATCTGCAGATCTACATCTTCACACCTTCACATCTGCTGATCTACATCTTCACACCTTCACACCCTACCTGACTTTCTCTTCCTTTAAGCCTAAATTCTTCCACTGACACTCTCTTCCTTTAACCCTCAAAATTTCCACTGACATTCTCTTCCTTTCACCCTCAAAAATTCCACTGACATTCTCTTCCTTTAACCCTACGTAGACATTCTCTTCCTTTAACCTTAAGTTTCCACTGACACTCTCAAATTTCCACTGACACTCTCTCCCTTTAAGGATTCTCTTCCTTTAACCCTAAATTTCCACTGACATTCTCTTCCTTTAACCCTACCTGACTTTCTCTTCCTTCAACCCTGAATTTCTGCTGACTGCCTCTTCCTAGTGTCAATGTGAAGAATGAGAAGGAGTTTCCAAATTCTGCAGTGCCAGTATTTGTGCCAGGGTTCGTCAAAATTGAAGTGTCAGTTTGGGCGAGGCAAAACCGCCTTGGACTTGCCCAGACAGTGTGCAAACGGAGATCGTCAATTTGTTGGGTTGAACCGAAGTCTCTGAGCAGCACAAGTGCGGTCCAAGACATTGCAGTGACCCAAATGGTACAGATGCTGTTGTCACACGGGGAAAGCTGCCAAGAGTGGGATTACCACGATACAAGAAAAGAGGCAAATACAGACAGAAGAGATAAATACAGATTGTGAGGAAATAACCGCTTGAATGTTTTTGGATAACAATTGAAATCAAGATGCTTCTCCTTTAATGGTCTCGCAGGCAAGCTGCCAAGTTTGGGTAGGTATGGAGCTTGAACAGTATGGAGAGCTGGGAAGAGAATCCCCTCTGAATTAATTAAGTGTCACCCGCTGGGTGCCAGCAGGTTTGCAGACGACTTGCCAGCGAAACCCATTTACAGAAGGAAATTCTCAAGATTTTCAAGCCGGCTGCACGAGAAGCGATTGCAAAGCAACTCCTGCACCCAGGCCATATTCTCGGAGTTGTGCTATTCGCATATGGCGCACCAGGAAAACCCGACCACGGCTGCCGGCTGAGTTTTCTTTGCGCAAGGGTTTGTTTCATAACACGCGTCCAGTTTTGTTGCTTATAGTGGCAGTTTTTTGTTTACCGTCCACAGATCACGGGGGATTTGCAGTGTTTGAAGGAGGCAAGGAGTTTCAGATGAAACTAATGATTGATGAAACGTTTGTGGGTATACATTTCGAATCATTTCGAATCACAATACATATCGAGGCTTTCGGGGCTTCTGTGGAGTTTGCCACGAGACACGCGAAAATTGATGCGCTTGCTTTGCATGTGTTTTATGCTTCTTGTAGAAAGCTTCCAACATCGTGTAGGACCGTGTAGGACGCAGAAACACCCCAAAAGTGTCATTTCCTTTGGGACCATGGGTTGGCGCTATTTTTTGTGAAAATCGCAAACGATACAAGAAATCAGAAAGGACATCATCTATGCATGTTTACCCGATTGTTGGTTCCAGCCTACGTGAGAGTTTCAACCAGACCGGCAGTTATTGCATCTGTTGAAAGCATTCTCCGATTCTCCCTCAGGTGCTTCAGCCCAAATTGCAACCGGGGTACCGACTGGTACAGTAGAAGTTGCATCTTTTCCGATGCCGTGTGATTCAGGTGACTCCCAATAGTTTGATACAATGTCTCATCTCCAATTTCAACCTAGGGCGAGGAATGGCACACGTTTTCGCAAAACAAAAGTTCTTGTTGCTTTTCGGGCAAAGTCTTTCACTGCAAGCCCCGAAACGACAGAAAACTACACTGTTCAAAGCCTAAAACTCGGTGGTCCCTTGCCATGAAGTCGTCAATGTTTCTAGCCTGGGGCTTGAAGGGATCAACTCAAGGATATCTCGAGGCAACAGTCTGCGCTCAATCAAGTGGTTTTTGGGCTTTGGATTTTGAGGTGTTGTGCTCCATTCTTTCTTTGGCAGACGCTCTTCAGATTCACATCAAGGCCAGAGAATTTGCCACAGGCAGACTACAGAAAAAATCCGAGCTATCAGAAAAGACACGCGTCAAAGTCTGAACATGAGATTCATTGTGAAAGTGCCAGGTTGGCCCTGATGCCACATTTGCAACTTGGATGAACATATAGGTTTTCTGTATGGAGACCCAAGAGTCAAATCTTTCTTTCAATCTGGAATCGATCAAGTTCTTTCTGTGTCTCTGAGCAGGTGAGAAATTGGCAGCTGCGAACCTGGAGTTTTGCTCCACGTCTTGACCACTGGCCAAGCATTCCTCCGACGGCATGAGCTGATCGTTTGTTCAGCTGTCTTGCTGACATTCGCATTCGCCTGGTGTAACAAGGCGCTGCTATTTTTTCCATGGCTTCGGTTCGGTAGTGATATGTAGTGATCATTAGCTGTAGCACAGCTGTGGGATGTTTATCCTTTATCTAAATTCTTGAGAGATTTTAGGATCGGAGAGGAATTCTTAAAGTCCTGGAGGCAGTGTGCAGCTTCATCGGTGCCAAGCGGGCAACACAGGCCCGAAAATGTCCAAAACTCACATTTGAGCTTGTGATTGGCGTTCAGCTTTCATGCTGACGAAGGGCGTACCGGCGAACACCCAAGTGTGGAAGTATTGCTTGATTTACTGCAGGGAAGTCGTGGCTATGCGACATTTTGATTCAGATGATATTCATTAATCGAATCCTCTGTTGATTAGGATGTTCCTGGAATGTATTCTAATAAAATGGAGCGTTTCAAGTCTGTGTCGGACAGCGGGACTTGTTTAAAGCGTTTTACAGCCACAGTTTTGCAGTTTGACACGCAACTAGCTTTCACTTATGGTTTGCCAGTGGGTTGTTGAGCATTTTGGTATCATCGATGCTTTGTTTCTTGCTGCTGCTGCTGCTGCTGCGGCTGCAGCTGCACTTTCCTGCCATTGTACTTTGAGTCAGGGGGCCCGCAGCAACATTTCAAATCATTTCAACGGATATCTTTCGTGTTCTGCGTTCCAAGACACATTGTTCCCCAAACTCTCCTGTTCAGATCGGGATCCAGAATATCCGACATGTTTCCACGGGGAAATGACATTTTGCGACGTCTCCGGAACGGGGGTCGTGGCGTCTCCATGCTGCTTGAGTTCGCTGGAGATATTTTGGCGGTTTCTCCTCTTGATGCCAGGCCCCTCAACAAGCGCCAGCTTTGCAGGTAGCAGCACGTGAGCAGGCCTCAGCGGTTTGAACTATCCTTGACAGGACGAAAGTTGACGGGCATGGTCAAGGACAATGGAAGGGTTTGTGCTTTGCAACCGTTGACAGCTACGTTTGAAGAGGCTGCCCCAATGCTGCCAGCATTGCCACCAGTGCTACCTCCAGTGGCAGTGCCACCGGTGCCACCCCAGCCAGCGCAGTTGGCGCAGGCTCCTCCGCAGCGCCGAGCACGTCCTGTGCCAACATACCTTGGCATTGAGGAGGAAGAGGTTGAGCGCCGGTGCCCACAAGAGGCCGGGTTTGTGGGCGGATTGTTGCACTGTGACTGTGCAGATCTGCGCAGGAAAAGAGGCTGAGCAACGCCAACAGGCTGATGCTGGGCATTGTGGTGCCTGAGAGCAGGTGGACTGAGCCTCAGGTTGAAGTGCTCAATCTTCAAGAGATTGTTCTCTTGAAGCCTTTAGGAAGCAGTTGCTCGCCCATCTTGCAACATGACGTGCAAGCATCTTTCAATATCTTTCAGGCCTCTTGGAGCATTGCCCCTTATGCAGCGGTTGGGGCTGACTCCAAAAGATTTCGTCTATGTGCTCATGCAGCACAACGGGCCCGAGTGGACCTATGTTGCTTTGCTCGCTCGCGAGGCAGGATGCGTGTCCTTTGCCTCCACCAGTTCTCTGCTGACAGAGATGAGTGCACGGCTTGTAGTGGGGAAATTTGATGATTGGCAGGATGTGCATGGTTGGGTCCCAACCGGCTGTATCAGGGCTATTCCAGACTAAGGCGGGCCGGTTTTCACCGATACAGCCTTTGTGCATTTGTGTCTAGTTTACCTTGTTGGCACGACATCGCGCCATGTTTTCTTTCTTTTTTCCTGACCACATTTTTTGGTTGACTTTCTGTTTTCACCGCTGGATGCTGTTTTCTTCTTGCCGGCAAATGCATCGATTTGTGCCAATCACCTGCAATGTCTGAAGCGTGCGAATATTCAGGTCAAGTTTTCCCAGTGCCGGAATGTCAAGCAGCTTGCCAACTTCTGCCACTATCTCAATCACAAGGAAGGATGAGTACATACCTATGAGTATCAGACATACACACATATGCACACACACACACACTTGCTCAGAACTGTCATTGCGAATTGTGATGTGGAATGCATCAGTCGTGCAAAACAACACTTCAATTATTCCTGATCAGAGGAGGAGAATACATAGGATTGACCAGTCACGAGGATCCAGCGTAAGATGTCCAAATAAATCGGTATCTGTCCTTTCACCGCAGTCTCAGATTGTGCCAACTGTGCAGAAATGAGAAACTGGCTGGGCGGTTCTTGGCTTGGCCGCTTGCCATACAAATTGGAAAATGGAGCAGGTACGCAGAGCTGATCAGGCTCTGTATTCCATACAATCATGTAGCTTCGCTGGACGTGGTCCCTGATTGTATGCCACGTCCCCCTGCTGAAATCAGAAAGCTGAAAAAGAAGCCACAGTAGAGGTTTTACTTCTGCTCAGAAGTTCCACACACACACACACCCTGCTGCAGCAGGGTCTTTCTTGGAAGACCACAAGCGGTGGTTGTCCTGATGCCCTATGTGGGTGGGAGAGGCTGGATCCGCAGGTAGTGACTGGAATGTTGGAGGATGAGGTGATTGCTAAGTGGCAAGCTGCTGAGGAAGCATGGAAGACTGATGTCGAAGGGACTGAAACCAGCGACGTGACGGAGTGCAGGAGCACCACTTGAAGCCCCCGACCGAAATTCACAGTAACCCTAAGGTGCCGTGCAGAGAACGCTCGGCAAGGGGCATTCATGTGGCGCGGCCGAGGCGAGGAGGAGAATGGCGGCGAAGGAATAAATGCCCTTTGTGGGTGGAGAAGTTGGATCCGCAGGCAGTGGCTAGAATCTAGAAAGTTAGACGACATGGATGATATGAATGAGGTGATTGCAAAGTGGAAAGGAGATAAGCAAGCAAGGAAGACTGATGTTGAGTGCAGGAGCACCACTTGAAACCCCCGACCGAAAATCACAGTAACCCTAAGGTGCCGTGCTGAGAACGTGCAGCTCGGCAAGGGGTATTCATGTGGCATGGCGGTGGCAAGGAGGAGAATGGCGACCAAGGGAAAAAGATGGGTGGCACAGGTGGGGATGATGGATCACAGCCAGGAGGCCGGGAGAATCAGTATCAAATTATCCAACACGTTTCAATAACAAATTGATGCGTCCACAATCCAATGCAGCTGATCAGGCTCAATGGCCGAAAATTCAGGTCAACCCCATAGGCAGCTGAAGTAGTCAACCCGCGAATTCGTGCACAACTTGACCTCACCAGATCAACCAAAAGAAAGTGACAACACCTGAAAGGCATGTCCTGAAGCCTGACCCTTGCAATGTTGCAATGCCAGAAGCTGGTCAGTCTCTCGATCAAGGTTGAAAAGGAGGTTTCCACGGCTGTGAAAAGCGAAAGAAGGCGAAGCCCGGTACTGCGGCCAGTTGTTCAACCAACGACAAACAACAGGGTGAACAGTCAAAAAACGGCCAACTGTTCCACTTTACTTAGACGAATTACCAGGTTGAAAATTGTAAAGTCAGACATCAAGTCGGAGGATCAAACATCTTACCTCGACAGGTATTCCCCGAGGGGCTCTTGTCGAACCGACGTGAGTAACACACTTGCTCAGAACTGTCATTGCGAATTGTGATGTGGAATGCATCAGTCGTGCAAAACAACACTTCAATTATTCCTGATCAGAGGAGGAGAATACATAGGATTGACCAGTCACGAGGATCCAGCGTAAGATGTCCAAATAAATCGGTATCTGTCCTTTCACCGCAGTCTCAGATTGTGCCAACTGTGCAGAAATGAGAAACTGGCTGGGCGGTTCTTGGCTTGGCCGCTTGCCATACAAATTGGAAAATGGAGCAGGTACGCAGAGCTGATCAGGCTCTGTATTCCATACAATCATGTAGCTTCGCTGGACGTGGTCCCTGATTGTATGCCACGTCCCCCTGCTGAAATCAGAAAGCTGAAAAAGAAGCCACAGTAGAGGTTTTACTTCTGCTCAGAAGTTCCACACACACACCCTGCTGCAGCAGGGTCTTTCTTGGAAGACCGCAAGCGGTGGTTGTCCTGATGCCCTATGTGGGTGGGAGAGGCTGGATCCGCGGGTAGTGACTGGAATGTTGGAGGAT